TCTCAGAGGGATTGGAACACACACATGGCTAAACCACAAATGTTCTGCTTCCCTGCGGCTCTGCATGTTCTCCTGTCCACAGTAATCCCTCTGCAGTGAGCCTCTGACGCTCTGCATGATGACCGCTCAGGAGAGGAGCCCCCCCCACCATAGTAACCCCCCCCCCCTTTAGCTGCAGCCCGGTGCATCGAGCCTGCAGCACTGTTGATCATTTCACAGCTCGCTTAACGCTTCAAATACTCAAACTACAGATGAATGTGTGTTTGCTGGGTTAAATGTCTCTGTTGTTGTTGTTGTTGTTGTTGTTGTTGTTGTTGTTGTTTTCTGCAGAAAACAGTCAGATAAATGGTCAAATAAGCACAATAGATAACGCAACAGCATCAGTGTCATCACCGATCATCCAGAGCATGTGGATCTAACTTTCCTGCAGACAAACTTCAGCGTGCAACACTGACTTCAACCCTCGCGCACACCGCTGCACACTGCACCAAACCCCCCTCTTGTTTTGGAAGTAAACATATAGCCATAATTACGTTTGGACTCCTTGACAGTTTTCAAAGCGGACTGTAGTCTCTCCAGCATGGCTCTTTGATTAGCATGTGCAGAAACAAACACACACACAGGGAAAAAGGAAAAAGAATAATCCTTTATATTCCTGGAGAGGAACAGGAACTGAAACAACACGTCTGAGGAGGTTCAGCGAAGCATTTCTCCTGAGCATCCAGAGAGCAGTGGAGAGGAAGGTGGGAGGCGAGGGGAGGAAGGGAGAGACAGTTTTAATCTTTGGAAAAACCAGACGCTGGACGCTTTCACTGCAGAGTAAAGGGGGAGAGAGGGAGAGAGGGAGAGAGGGAGAGAGGGAGAGAGGGGAGAGAGGGAGGGAGGCTGTTAGGGAGATAAGAGTGATGGAGAGAGGACGATGAAGAGAGGAAGTGATGGAGGATAAAGACAGATATGGAGAGGGAGGTGTTAATGAAGAACAGGTGCTGCAGAAACAGGTGCACCGTATAATCTCCCCGTGGAAACGACTGCGTGTTCCCGAGGGCCATGAAGGAAATTGGACTGCATCAAATTGAGCAGAGGGCAGCCAACGCAACACATGGGGGGGAAGAGGAGGAGGAGGGGTGATTTATCTCTGTTAACCCAGGGTTGCCAACTCTCACGCATCTGGCGTGTGACACATGCTTTCACTCTCAATCTCACGCTCTCACGCTGCCCAAACTATTCTTACGCCAAAAACAAGATGAACCGGCGATCGTTTTTGGTTAGTTATTTACAATGTTGAGTTGACAGCTGCTCAAGCTGTCGATCCGCTCCCTCCCCGCCCCCACCACTCTTAACAACGTTAACAGACAGCAGAGCAGTGGGAGACGGTTGGTCAATCCCGACCCGTATTGCGCATGCGCAGATCTAAGATCCAGTGATAACAAAGTAAAAGTCTGCTGCTTATCGTTCTACTCGGCCAAAATACAGTCAAAGAGAGTATGAGAGTGAGAGTGTGTTAATTAATATGTTTGGCAGTTTGGAGTAAGTCTGTAGATGTGTTTGTGTGTTTCATGTATAGGCCTCTCACGATAATGAATTTTGTTGGATACATTTTCCCGGAAATTATTGCGATAAACGATAATATTGTCGGCACCGTTGTATGACCATTTTAGATCTCTGACATACTGATAATATATAATAATAATAATAATTCAAGTACATCCTTTCAAACAGTCACATCCTGATGTAAATGGAAATTTAATTTTTAATTGTTATTTATCGTACGATAAGTCAATTAATTGCGTATCGCGACAGGCCTATGCACACAATAAAACAGTGGAAACATGTGTTTGACTTTCATTAGTGAATGAAACGTTGTGCCCTTTATAGTCTGTGTCCAATATTGTGTATTTGTATATATTGTATATATATCCTATATATATGCTAAGGTCCCGCTACTAATGATAGCAGTCATTTAGTGCGCATATGTGTAATTAAACCCATGATATCAAAATCTCACTCCAGCCAGGTACCCAAAGTTGGCAACCCTGGTTAACCTGCTATTCATGAGCACTTCACTAAAAAGCTAATCAGAGCGGGAGGTGTTCGCTTCACGGAGAGAATATAAACAAGTGAGATTAAACATAAATATTAAAAAAATTCTAAAGGCTATTTGGACATTTGTGGGGAAACACAGTCACAGTATTTCTTCTAAATACCTCTTAAATGTAGCCAGTAATAAGATTAAAGAGGCCCTATACAGGTTGCTTGCTATTCACAGGTTTTAAAGAGTCCTCTCCTGCTGATGTTCAGGTGTATATCAGTATGTAGTGTCTCTACTTTAAAGAGTCCTCTCCTGCTGATGTTCAGGTGTATATCAGTATGTAGTGTCTCTACTTTAAAGAGTGCTCTCCTGCTGATGTTCAGGTGTATATCAGTATGTAGTGTTCTCTACTTTAAAGAGTCCTCTCCTGCTGATGTTCAGGTGTATATCAGTATGTAGTGTCTCTACTTTAAAGAGTCCTCTCCTGCTGATGTTCAGGTGTATATCAGTATGTAGTGTCTCGACTTTAAAGAGTCCTCTCCTGCTGATGTTCAGGTGTATATCAGTATGTAGTGTATCTACTTTAAAGAGTCCTCTCCTGCTGATGTTCAGGTGTATATCAGTATGTAGTGTCTCGACTTTAAAGAGTCCTCTCCTGCTGATGTTCAGGTGTATATCAGTATGTAGTGTCTCTACTTTAAATAGTCCTCTCCTTCTGCTGATGTTCAGGTGTATATCAGTATGTAGTGTCTCTACTTTAAAGAGTCCTCTCCTGCTGATGTTCAGGTGTATATCAGTATGTAGTGTCTCTCTACTTTAAAGAGTCCTCTCCTGCTGATGTTCAGGTGTATATCAGTATGTAGTGTCCTCTACTTTAAAGAGTCCTCTCCTGCTGATGTTCAGGTGTATATCAGTATGTAGTGTCTCTACTTTAAAGAGTCCTCTCCTGCTGATGTTCAGGTGTATATCAGTATGTAGTGTCTCTACTTTAAAGAGTCCTCTCCTGCTGAGTTCAGGTGTATATCAGTATGTAGTGTCTCTACTTTAAAGAGTCCTCTCCTGCTGATGTTCAGGGGTATATCAGTATGTAGTGTCTCTACTTTAAAGAGTCCTCTCCTGCTGATGTTCAGGTGTATATCAGCATGTAGTGTCCTCTACTTTTAAAGAGTCCTCTCCTGCCTGATGTTCAGGTGTATATCAGTATGTAGTGTCTCTACTTTAAAGAGTCCTCTCCTGCTGATGTTCAGGTGTATATCAGTATGTAGTGTCTCTACTTTAAAGAGTCCTCTCCTGCTGATGTTCAGGGGTATATCAGTATGTAGTGTCTCTACTTTAAAGAGTCCTCTCCTGCTGATGTTCAGGTGTATATCAGTATGTAGTGTCTCTACTTTAAAGAGTCCTCTCCTGCTGATGTTCAGGTGTATATCAGTATGTAGTGTCTCTACTTTAAAGAGTCCTCTCCTGCTGATGTTCAGGTGTATATCAGTATGTAGTGTCTCTACTTTAAAGAGTCCTCTCCTGCTGATGTTCAGGTGTATATCAGTATGTAGTGTCTCTACTTTAAAGAGTCCTCTCCTGCTGATGTTCAGGTGTATATCAGTATGTAGTGTCTCTACTTTAAAGAGTCCTCTCCTGCTGATGTTCAGGTGTATATCAGTATGTAGTGTCTCTACTTTAAAGAGTCCTCTCCTGCTGATGTTCAGGTGTATATCAGTATGTAGTGTCTCTACTGATTGGTTAGCTGGCCAGCTCTGTTGTGATTGGTCAACCGCTTAGAGATATCCCGCCCCTTAGCCTATCACGTACAATGTGTTGCAGCGCTAGCCAATAGGAGTGCGAGTGTTACAAAGTGATGTCACCATATTCCTGAAGTAAACAAAGGAAAGTGACTTCCTGGAGTCGTGTGTACCTTTACCTAACACGTAGAAAGTAACCTCCCATCACATAACATGCAAAAAACAAAACCACGCAACATCTCACGGGTACTGCATTGGTGTTTAGCTTTTTTTATAATCCATTCAGACGTAGAAGGGCACTCAGGGATTGTTGCAAAGTTCAAGTTAAAAATAATGTGTGATTGGGATCTGCTCCAACATTTAATGGGACTTTCTTGGCCCCTCGCTTCACTGAGTTTCATTCCAGTAGTGTTTCTGTTTTCCTGCTGCAGGCGGACCAACAAACCAAAAACAAAACATTATTATATTGTTTACTATCCCAACGTGAACTCCATGATAAACCAGACCGTGACAAACTAACGTTTCCTTTAACAATGCAAGTTAAAACCAGCCTGAGGGGTTGATGATGCCTCCTGACTGCTGGCATCGGGCCACGTTGACCACTCTTTAATGTGTAATTACTTAATGGCGCGTCGGTCCACAAGGACGTCCAAATGAAACCTGGCGGGTTCCCAAGTATCATATCAGGCCCAAAAAGTTAGATTAATATGACATATTGTCTGTTCTACTTCAGAGAGGTCGTTCTGCAAACCGTAGAGTGCTAGATGTAAAGGGCAAATATATTGCTTTTTTTCAGGTTCATGTTTTTTTTAGCCAGAACATTTATATTAGAAAAAGCAGCTTCAGAAATGTTGCAAATAAAAAATACACAAATGTACCGAAACATCTTCACCAACTGGAAGACACATGCGCGGCGTTTACTAAAAGCACTGAATAAAGGAAACGCTGCAAATACAAAACGCCGACCAACTCTATAATCCTGAACGCCAATGTTTTTGTTTTTCAAAGTGCAACGCGATTCTCCTCATTAAAATGTTTTGGGCCGTTGTATAGCATCGCAAGTTTTTCCTCTAACTTTGACCACATTCCCCTCACTCCATATTGTTATTGTTCACAGCCCTAATACGTAAGTAAACGTAAGGGGGAAAGAGCTGCCTTCATTTTAAGTGAATTTAAAACAAACTGAAAGATTGACATTGAAGTGACTTTGACTTGAACTGATGGACTAAAAGTACCTTTTCCGTTCTCCACGTCCTGCGATGCGATGACGAACCCGAATCCCTCGCCCGGTTTCCTCCTCAGCTCCACGTCAAACCCTCGGAGGGGCCTGGTCTTCCCCCCCCTCTCCAGACCCAAGTCCTGCGTTGGGACGGCCCCCGCCTCGTCCTCCAGCCCCGTGTTGATCCAGTCCCGCGGCTCCATGGTCAGCGTCACCGGGATGGACTCCAGGAAGCTGGTGCTCTGGACCAGGCAGGAGGAGTGCAGGTGGGGCGCCGGGGAGGGGGGGGGCGCTGTGGGAGGTCCGGGGAACAGGGAGGGAGTCAGGGAGGAAGTGGGAGGAGTCTGAGCTGACAGGGGGGGGAGGGGGGCGGAGTAGAGGAGGGGGGAGTCTCCGCAGGGAGCCGGGGGAGACGGACGAGTGATAGATGCCTGGTGAGATAGAGAGATTGTTAGAAAAATCTCACTGGTCCCCGGCTTGAGCTTCAATATCAGGATCCATCCTTCCATTTGTGATCCTCTCCAGCAGTATTCAATGTTTACTTCAGATTAGCTCCACGTCAGAAATGAGCATGCTTGTCATATGTCTATCTCCATAGAGGCTGAATCATCATGTTAATCACAGAGCTATCATATGCCTCAAACAGTCCTGATGCTCTTCTAGGTAATCACACATCCTGTCATGTTCACAGCTACAGTTGGGATACCTTTGTTATCATGTTACTCTCATGTTGGAAGAGGACATTCAGTATTTTCCCAACAGAGATGATATATTTGTATTTACATTATATTTGTATTGAGATGGTTTACACACAGAGAATATCTGATGAATATATGTGACTTTATATGAAAGTGAAAGCATTACCTCCTCTGTAAACCAGCAGGATGACCTCCGCCTGCTTGGTGTGCTCCTGCAGGATAGTTTGCACCTGTGAACAAGCATAATGTAATATATATATCATCACTCAACTCAATTCATGTTTTCAAATTGGTTGAAAAACAGCCGGAGAAAACCCAGTGTTGTCTTTTTAATAATTCAGCCACTTGTTTACGGGCTTTTTTTTTTTTACGTTTTCTTGCTGAAAAGATGAATGAAAATGTTTTGTATAATTTGGTGTTCGGGTGGGTCACTCTGGGTCAAATTTGGCCCAATCAAGATTCATCTTTTGTTGGTCCCTGACAACTAAACCAATAAACCTAAACTAAGAGGTGGAAAGCAGACGTTGCCACATTTTAAGCAAAAAAGAGATCAAGAAACTCAGTTCGAACTCATGAACTATAACTAATATTTAGATCACACTTCTCTGGCTTTTCATGTGCTTTGAGTAAAAGGTTCAGCTAAATGCAGTGTATTTGAGATATGTGAAATGGGACACCCTGATAGACTATGAAGCTTGAGAATAGCCTGAGTAAGGTTGTGTGTGTGTGTGTGTGTGTGTGTGTGTGTGTGTGTGTGTGTGTGTGTATGTGTGTGTGTGTGTGTGTGTGTGTGTGTCCACCTGTGAGAAGCTGAGGCTCTGGACGTCCGCCCCATTGATCTTCACGATGGCGTCCCCCGGCTGCAGGGCGCCGCACTGCTTCCTGTCCCAGACCCTCCTCACGAGGCTCATGCGGCCCCCCGGCCCCCCCGCCGTCACACTGAAGCCCAGACCCTGATCCCCCTCCGTCTGAGAGAGTGCCACCGGGACCAGCTCCCCCCCGCTCAGACTGCCCACACTCACCCCCCCGGGAGAGGAGAGAGGGCTGCTGGGGGTCAGAAGAAGAGTCAGAGAGAGAGTTAGACGAAGAGTCAGAAGAAGAGTAAGAGACAGGACATGAGTCAGAGTCAGAGACAGAGTGACGGTCCGTCCACACAGCGGCGTGCGTTGAAAGCTTCACCATTCACTTTGAATGGGGTGACGTCACTTTTCGCCGAACTGCATTGTGGGAAGCGACGCAGAGCTTTGCTGGCGTGGCTCGCTGCAAAAGTTGAGCAATGTTCAACTTTTGAGGCCTCGGCAGAAGCGTCAGCCAATCGAATCATATGCCAGTACAAGCTCTAGCCAATCAAACCGCTGCTTGTGTGTCAGGGGCGGGAGATTCATGTGATTGGTTGTTGGTCGAGTTTCAGACACGCCCGCCGGCAAGCTTCAACGCACGCCGCTGTGTGGACGGGCCGTAAGACACAGAGTAAGAGTCAGAGTAAGAGTAAGAGTCAGAGTCAGAGTAAGAGTCAGAGTAAGAGTCAGAGTCAGAGTAAGAGTCAGAGTCAGAGTAAGACACAGAGTAAGAGTCAGAGTCAGAGTAAGAGTCAGAGTCAGAGTAAGAGTCAGAGTCAGAGTCAGAGTCAGAGTCAGAGTCAGAGTAAGAGTCAGAGTCAGAGTCAGAGTCAGAATCAGAGTCAGAGTAAGAGTCAGAGTCAGAGTCAGAGTCAGAGTCAGAGTCAGAGTCAGAGTCAGAGTCAGAGTCAGAATCAGAATCAAATCAGAGTCAGAGATATCTGCTGAACATATTGTGATTATGGGATTTCATAAAAATGATGTTTTGCACATAAAATGATTCTGGTTATTGCTCAGTAGCAATAGTCAGGAAGAGAAGAATATATTTCTTACAAGCCATTGGCTCCCCGGTGGTTCTGGTGGTGGTTCTGCTGGTTCTGCTTGTAGTTCTGGTGCTCGGGGGTCACTGGGGGTCTCAGGTGGGAGCTCTGCGGTCTGAAGAGGTGGGGGGACGTGCTGTGGAGGGAGGAGGAGGCTCTGTGGGGGGAGGAGGAGGCTCTGTGGGGGGAGGAGGAGGCTCTGTGGGGGGAGGAGGAGGCTCTGTGGGGGGAGAGGGGCAGCGGCAGGCGGGAGGTGGACATGTTGCCGGAGGACAGGTCGCTCTCTGAAGACTTGAAGCCGTAGCGGGGCGGGGGCTGGGGAGCGGAGAGAGAGTTGTTGTTGTGGTTACGGATCATCGAAGACCTGAGGAAAAAGAGTAAACAAAGTCAAAATCAACAAAGTTCCAAGTTCAAAGGCTTTATTGTCGAATGCACAGCTACAGGGGAGATACATCTGAAGTCCAAGGCCCAACATAAATATATATACATGAGACATAAAACTCATTTGAACTTGTAGAAACACCTTGAAATTCAACCTAATTTCTACTATATTTAAAATCCCGTTCAAATCACTGCAGTGGACTACTGATTATTTGAGTGTGATACAAATTCAAGATGAAGCCCCTCCGCAGTGCGTGCAGGAGTCACCTGTGTGATCCGCTGGCAGTTTGTAAAGACTAATAAAGAAATTATAGGGAAACGAATAAAAAAAAATATTCTGCATCAATGGCTTATTATTTAAAAATGTTTTAAAAAAAATGAATGCACCTCAGCTGTGTGTGCGGGTGAAGTAAACTTTGATATAAAATGTAAATCAAATCAGTTCAATTAACTGCTCAAGTTTACAAAACCTTAAAAAAGTGCATCACACGTTCAGAATGAAGCCCCCCTGCATGCGTGTGACTGTCTGTAAAGATTTGAAGCGATAGAAAAACTTTGATATAAAATACAAATTCAACCCAATTCAAATCAACTTTAAATCCACTACTAATTATTTAAAAACTTTAAAACGTTTATCAAAAGCTCCAAAGTGAAGCCCCTCTGCCTGCAGGGGTCACCTGTGACGGTCTGATAAGCAAACATTTGAAGCGATAGAAAAACTTTGAAATAAAACTTAAATTGAACCCAATTCAAGTCCATTTTAAACTTTTAAAAAGTGGATGAAAAGTTCAAAATGAAGCCCCCCCTCACCTGTGTGACCCGATGGCCGACACCACCTCGCTGTCGCTCTGGCTGGCGAGCGTCGGGTCGAAGGCCTGCAGGCGGGTCAGGCTCCTCAGGTGGCGGGGGGGCCGGGTGGAGGGGGGCGAGGCGGCGTTGCTCATGCTGGAGCGCCTGTACGAGGGGGGGGCTCTGGAGGAGAAGGACATGGTGTTCCCGTTGGCGTCCAGATCGACCCCCCCCGGCTCCGTGTAGCTGTAGTTGAAGTGCAGTTGATGGTGAGTGGGGGTGGGGGTCGGGAGGCGGGGCTTAGGCTGGGTGGTGGTGGGTGGGGGGTCCAGGAGCCTGGGTGGGGGCAGCTTGGGGCAGCCGTCGGGGGTGTAGAGCATGGGGTAACCCCGGGTAACCTCCACGTCCACACTGTGGCCCGAGGGCACCGCCTGCAGCAGCTCCACCGCCTCTTTGTGGGAAAACCCCAACACACACACTCCGCTGATGAACACCAGGATGTCCGCTGGGGGGAAGACAAGAGAGAGATAGAGTTAGTCATACTTAGAGGAGGGAGAAGTACTCGGAAGTTGTAATTGAGTTCTTTCACCAATTTAAGAATGAGAGAAGAATATCATTTTGCGGGTGAAGTACTCCTTTAAATATCTGTGTTTAACAACGTGCATAGGAAACCCTGTGTGTGTGTGTGTGTGTGTGTGTGTGTGTGTGTGTGTGTGTGTGTGTGTGTGTGTGTGTGTGTGTGTGTGTGTGTGTGTGACTAATCCCAGCAGCTACTCCCTGTAACCCTATTATCAGATATGAAGTAGATCAGTGCTGCAGCTTCAGAGGTAATATCTGCCTGTGTGGATGCTTCTCTGTGTGGTGTGTGTGTGTGTGTGTGTGTGTGTGTGTGTGTGTGTGTGTGTGTGTGTGTGTGTGTGTGTGTGTGTGTGTGTGTGTGTGTGTGTGTGTGTGTGTGTACCGTATGTGTGTGTGTTATGATGTTCGGCTCTCAGGATTAGGTGCGGACTGAGATACACACTTACTGAGATCAGAGAGGTTTAATACCTCAGACAGGAAGTAGAGAGACGTTCAAACACACGGCTGATTAAAGCTTCTCATTTCACGTTCTGCAGGATATCAGCGACCAGCATACAGCCCTCAGTCTGCAGATATGTCGTGTACTAGTACTAATAATTAAGATTACTAACATGTATTTAATCTACATATGGTATGCACCTGAACCAGTGGAGGAAGAAGTACACAGACCTTTTACTTAAGGACAAGTAGAAATACTGTTGTCTAAAAATACTTACACACAAAAAAATCTTAATTTAGAATGCTATGTGAGCGAAATAAGTATTAACAGCAAATATACTTTGAGTATAGAAAGTAAAAGTACTTCTCAAGACGAAGGGCTCTTTTCATATTATTTTATATTATTTTAGAATATTATAATTCTGTTTTATCACTAACTGCAAACAAACCACTTCTGCATGTCATTGATGTTTCATTTAAAACGTCAATGCACCTTTCATTATCGTATTTTAAATCTGTCTTATTCTATTTTAGCTTGCTTTCATTTTCTATTCTAACGGCACTTTAAACTCGTTTGATGTTATTTATAATACGTTTCTTTTGCACTTTGTCTCAGTGCGTTAAGCTTTTTGTAAAGCACTTTTGATTTGTCTTTTTGTCCTAATGTGCTATATTAATAAACGTATCCTGCTTTCCCCGCTGTCTTTTAAGTAATCAAATACCTATTTCAGTTTAAGTTTACACTGCACTGTATCTTCTATTGTTGCATTCTATCGCTTCTTATTTCTAAACTTTCTATTTTATTGTCTCTTATTGACTGTTTTAAATACATTTGAATGTTCTTCTTTTGCACTCCATGCTTTAAGCAGAGGTGGGAGAAGTACTCAGATCTGGTACTTGAGTCAAAGTAGAAGTACTCAGATCTGGTACTTGAGTCAAAGTAGAAGTACTCAGATCTGGTACTTGAGTGAAAGTAGAAGTACTCAGGTCTTGTTCTTGAGTGAAAGTAGAAGTACTCAGATCTTGTTCTTGAGTAAAAGTAGAAGTACTCAGATCTTGTTCTTGAGTAAAAGTAGAAGTACTCAGATCTTGTACTTGAGTAAAAGTAGAAGTACTCAGATCTGGTACTTGAGTGAAAGTAGAAGTACTCAGATCTGGTACTTGAGTGAAAGTAGAAGTACTCAGATCTGGTACTTGAGTGAAAGTAGAAGTACTCAGATCTTGTACTTGAGTAAAAGTAGAAGTACTCAGATCTGGTACTTGAGTAAAAGTAGAAGTACTCAGATCTTGTACTTGAGTAAAAGTAGAAGTACTCAGATCTGGTACTTGAGTAAAAGTAGAAGTACTCAGATCTTGTACTTGAGTAAAAGTAGAAGTACTCAGATCTTGTACTTGAGTGAAAGTAGAAGTACTCAGATCTGGTACTTGAGTGAAAGTAGAAGTACTCAGATCTTGTACTTGAGTAAAAGTAGAAGTACTCAGATCTGGTACTTGAGTAAAGTAGTAGAAGTACTCAGATCTGGTTACTTGAGTAAAAGTAGAAGTACTCAGATCTTGTACTTGAGTAAAAGTAGAAGTACTCAGATCTGGTACTTGAGTAAAAGTAGAAGTACTCAGATCTTGTACTTGAGTAAAGTAGAAGTACTCAGATCTGGTACTTGAGTAAAAGTAGAAGTACTCAGATCTTGTACTTGAGTAAAAGTAAAAGTACTCAGATCTTGAACTTGAGTAAAAGTAGAAGTACTCAGATCTTGTACTTGAGTAAAAGTAGAAGTACTCAGATCTTGTACTTGAGTAAAAGTAGAAGTACTCAGATCTTGTACTTGAGTAAAAGTAGAAGTACTCAGATCTTGTACTTGAGTAAAGTAGAAGTACTCAGATCTGGTACTTGAGTAAAAGTAGAAGTACTCAGATCTTGTACTTGAGTAAAAGTAGAAGTACTCAGATCTTGTACTTGAGTAAAAGTAGAAGTACTCAGATCTTGTACTTGAGTAAAAGTAGAAGTACTCAGATCTTGTACTTGAGTAAAAGTAGAAGTACTCAGATCTGGTACTTGAGTAAAAGTAGAAGTACTCAGATATTGTAGTAAAGTAGAAGTACTCAGATCTTGTACTTGAGTAAAAGTAGAAGTACTCAGATATTGTTCTTGAGTAAAAGTAGAAGTACTCAGATCTTGTACTTGAGTAAAAGTAGAAGTACTCAGATATTGTTCTTGAGTAAAAGTAGAAGTACTCAGATCTTGTACTTGAGTAAAAGTAGAAGTACTCAGATCTTGTACTTGAGTAAAAGTAGAAGTACTCAGATCTGGTACTTGAGTCAAAGTAGAAGTACTCAGATCTGGTACTTGAGTAAAAGTAGAAGTACTCAGATCTTGTACTTGAGTAAAAGTAGAAGTACTCAGATCTGGTACTTGAGTAAAAGTAGAAGTACTCAGATCTTGTACTTGAGTAAAAGTAGAAGTACTCAGATCTGGTACTTGAGTAAAAGTAGAAGTACTCAGATCTTGTACTTGAGTAAAAGTAAAAGTACTCAGATCTTGAACTTGAGTAAAAGTAGAAGTACTCAGATCTTGTACTTGAGTAAAAGTAGAAGTACTCAGATCTTGTACTTGAGTAAAAGTAGAAGTACTCAGATCTTGTACTTGAGTAAAAGTAGAAGTACTCAGATCTTGTACTTGAGTAAAAGTAGAAGTACTCAGATCTGGTACTTGAGTAAAAGTAGAAGTACTCAGATCTTGTACTTGAGTAAAAGTAGAAGTACTCAGATATTGTACTTGAGTAAAAGTAGAAGTACTCAGATCTTGTACTTGAGTAAAAGTAGAAGTACTCAGATCTTGTACTTGAGTAAAAGTAGAAGTACTCAGATCTGGTACTTGAGTAAAAGTAGAAGTACTCAGATATTGTTCTTGAGTAAAAGTAGAAGTACTCAGATCTTGTACTTGAGTAAAAGTAGAAGTACTCAGATATTGTTCTTGAGTAAAAGTAGAAGTACTCAGATCTTGTACTTGAGTAAAAGTAGAAGTACTCAGATCTTGTACTTGAGTAAAAGTAGAAGTACTCAGATCTGGTACTTGAGTCAAAGTAGAAGTACTCAGATCTTGTTCTTGAGTCAAAGTAGAAGTACCAGAGTGTAGGAATACTCTGTTACAGTAAAAGTCCTGCATTCAAAATGTTCCTCAAGTGAAAGTAGAAAAGTATTCTCATCAAAATATAGTGAAAGTAGCGACAGTAAAAGTAGTCGTTGTGCAGATTGGTCCATTTCAGAATAACATATATGATATGTTTTATAATGATTGATCATGAAAGTGTTCTCAAAGCTGGTAAAGGTGCAGCTAGTTTGAATTACTTTGTATACTGCAGGGTAGCTGGTGGATTTACTCCAGGTGGAACTAAAGTCTGATTCAACACTTGGTTATATTTCACATCATTCATCCACATCTGTGAAGTAACTAAAGGTATTGAATACATGTAGTGGAGTAGAAGTACACCATTTACCTCTGAATTGTAGTGGAGTAAAAGTACAAAGAAGAATAAAATGGAAATACTAAAGTAAAGTACAAGTAGCTCAACATTTTACTTATGTACAGTACTTGAGTAAATGTACTTAGTTACTTCCCACCTCTGGCTTAAAAGTTCTTATTTTAAAACACCATGAAATTCCTTTATGCTAAAATACATTATATAAATCGACTTGCCTTTACCCTTTGCTCAACTGCTCTCTTCAACCATCTGATTATATACAGTATATATACATATGGTATGATCTGTCCGGTGCATTATCTCTATCTGCTGGTTGTGTTTTCACCTGTCTGGAGCACCGAGGGTCCGCTGGACGTCACGCTGTAGATCTGCAGGAACTCTCTGGGCCGGCTGCCTCCCACGATGTTGAACCCAAACCCTCTGGAACCTTTAGTGAGCAGAGCGTGAACCGGGAAGCCTCGCAGCTCCAGGGGCTGGTCCGTGAACCCTGGGGATCAGCGGAGATAAAAGAAACCAGAAACACAGAGAGGGTGAGAGGATCACTTCCAGGGAAAAGTGGTAAAAGACTTTCAGGCAGCAAGCAGATCACCAGAGTGAAATCAGAGAGAGAGAGGAAGAGTCCTGTGTGTTTTAAAGACTCAAATGTTCACGTGTGTGTGAGAGTGTTTGTGTACCGTATGTGTGTGTGTTATGATGTTCGGCTCTCAGGATTAGGTGCGGACTGAGATACACACTTACTGAGATCAGAGAGGTTTAATACCTCAGACAGGAAGTAGAGAGACGTTCAAATACACGGCTGATTAAAGCTTCTCATTTCACGTTCTGCAGGATATCAGCGACCAGCATACAGCCCTCAGTCTGCAGATATGTCGTGTACTAGTGCTAATAATTAAGATTACTAACATGTATTTAATCTACATATGGTATGCACCTGAACCAGTGGAGGAAGAAGTACACAGACCTTTTACTTAAGGACAAGTAGAAATACTGTTGTCTAAAAATACTTATGTGAGCGAAATAAGTATTAACAGCAAATATACTTTGAGTATAGAAAGTAAAAGTACTTCTCATGAAGAAGAAGGTTTAGAGATTCAGATAATTGCAAACCAATCACCAGATGGCTTTTAACAAAATATACTTATAAATAGAAAAGTTCACACACACACACACACACACACACACACACACACACACACACACACACACACACACACACACACACACACACACACACACACACACACACACACACACACACACACACACACACACACACACACCAAAGTGTAAAGTGCATTAAAAGCAGGATCCATTACGTCATAAAAAATCAGATGCATAATCCATTAGACTTCCCAAAGCACTGCATTCTGGGTATACTTTATACACTATCTACCTTAACTTTGCATAAAAGAAAACCTAGTGAAAAGGATTTTATTTGTTGTCATATTTTTTTAGCGGGGAATGTTTGTAAAGTGGAGCAGCAATTTCAGGTTGCATACATGTAAACAATTTAAACAATTGCCTGTGGTTGCACACATAAATCCACAAATCATTTTATTTAACTGTATTTGCATTTTTTCATCAAAAATGAATATAAGTTTCTATTAATTAAATATTATATATTGTACATTTTTATTTTCACTTCTTACACATGTTTAATTAAGTGTCTAATGTTTATATAATTATTTGTATTCTATTTGTACATTTTTCTTGCAAATTTGTAATTTAACCTAATACATTTATATAATTATTTTAGTCTTATTTTATTCTGAAATAAAGCAGATATCATAAACCCCAATTCCCAGTATTAACAGCATTACAAAATATGTGTGTGAAGAGAAAATACATTTGTTATCCTTCTGTTTTTATCTATTAATCCTGAGATTATAGATACTATATTCTACATGCAGGTCATAGTGTCCATAACGGAGACTCTACCCCCCTCTGCTGGTGAGACAGGAGTGCTGCACTTTACTGGGACAGCACTGGAACAGATGGGTGTACAATCAGCCTGTCAGACAAACATCAAAACTAGATTACGTCCTTGTTCTTTTAACAGCGCGTCATGTGACCACCCAATTAGGAAATGCAGTCACATGACGGAGGCAGCAGAGCGCCTGGCAGAGAGCCAGCAGAGCTTTAGGCCTTAATCACTCGCTCCATTCAGATAAAAAAGCTCATTCGACTGCAACAAGCTGCCTCTGTCTGTTACTTCCGCTCTTCACAAACATGGGGCTTCATTCAGACAGATACATGTGTCACCAGTGTTGCAATGATTTCATCCGAAGAAAAGGAATAAAAGACGAGGCTCACATTCGTTCTGGTAGACGCTCTCCCTGCTCGGGGCTCGAGGGCTCTGCCAGTTGGTCCTCTTTGTGTGACGACTAGACAAAGCAGAAGAAAAGATTCCCTCCTCAGAAACATAAGAGTTCTGGATGTAATGTGGCAGCATGTGAACATAATACAGTCAGAGATTAACAGAGGGGCCTGGTGTAGATAGACGGGGAAATAGCAGCTTTGCCGTATAGACATTATTATTTTTGGAAATATACATATTCTCTTTTATGCCACGATCGATCCCATGTGTCATATCCATCCAGAGGTGTCAACTTGAGTCACATGACATTCAAGTCAGAATTTAGTCACAAATTTGATGATTTTAGAAAAAAAAGATTTTAAACTTGGAATCTAACACCAATGACTCGTGCTTGACTTTACTTGGACCTTAGCATTTTGATTTGAAAACACTCAATGCCTTTCCCCAAGCCCAGAGATGACTTTTTTTTTAAAGGACTGCCACTAATCAATTTATTTCCTGAATCAGCTTATGTTGACGACACTAGATCCGCATCACATCGGGTTGCAGGAGACAACCATAACGAACCAACACACTGAATGTAACCTTTTATTTGAATAAGGATGATTTTGTTTCCATACAAAAATACATGTGCAGGCCGAAAAAAAAAGACGGAGACGCATTGTGACCGGTTTTGAACTCTAAATGGAAATAGGATGTACCTGAGACTTCACTGCAAAGACTTGAGAACATCTTCTGACTTGAGAAATAATAACTTGGTCCTACCTTTGCTTAGTCTGGTAATTATAAAGGGACAGTAAGCTTAGTCTGTCTCTAAGTAAGGAGAGAGTAAAAACCCCTTTAAAGCTCTCTGATCAACATGTTTTATTCTGATATATTTAGGACTAAAACCACCACCAGTTTCATCCCAGAGACTATTCTGCACTATTTCTACTACATTCTATTTTATTGTATTTACTTGCACTATTATCTGTGTTATTGTGTTGCTCTGTTGGAGGAGCCTGTGACCTCAGATTTCCATTGTCATAACTACACTGAAGCTATGTACACATGACAATAAAAGCCTTGAATCCTTGAATTGAATCTTGAATTTGCGGACCGTGTGCAGACCCTCACTCTGAGTAGTAGGAGTCCCCGGGGTCGCTGAAGGCCTGCTCCCAGAGGTCGGGGGTCACTCCTCTGAGCCGCCGGCCGATCATCCCGCTCTCAAACCCTCGACTCTCCCCCCCGCTGCTGGAGGCCCGGGGCCGGCCGGCGGGGCGGTGTGGGGGGGGGACGCTGCTGCTGAGCCCTGCAGAGCCTCCTGCAATATCAGAGACAACCACAAGCATTACAAATCTACAAATTAACAGTGATGTTTTTTGTGTGCATGTAAATGGTCTGCAAAGGCTAAAATCCATGTGTTCCCTCCAGAAGGAATTTCTCTCACACACACACTGGTCTACATTAGACTCCTTTGTTTACTTCTGGAACATAGTGACATCATTGTGGAACACTATTGGCTAGCTCTCCAACACATTGTACGTGACCCTGGAAAATTAGATCTTTAAATCAGATTTCAAAAAGCCAACATTGTCTAAAATCTTGGCTCTTGTGTCATTACGTTTCATTTAGCTGACACTTTTATCTCACATTTGGATATTTCATTTTGTTTCAGATTAGTGTGTAATCTTTATGTATGTCTCACCGTCTCAATTTGACTTTTGGAACATAGTGACATCATTGTGTAACACTCGCGCTTCTATCGGCTAGTGCTCCAACACATTGTACGTGACCTTGGAAAACAGTTAGATCTTTAAATCAGATTTGTTTTAAAGCCAGCATTGTCTATAATCTTGGTTCTTTGTGTCAATTTCTCTCACTTTAAGTCACTTAGCAGATGCAGGAGGTGAACAAGTTCCTGCTGAACCTGTGTTAACGACCTGATGCTGTGCAATCTGATGTCAGGCGAAAAACCCTGAGGTCAGCATTTCTCTGAGGAGGCGGAGTGTGTGAGTGTGTGACCATGCATGCAGTATACCACAAAGCAGAACAGAGAGACATGCATGCTGTCTCCTCTCTGTCCTTGTATCTGTCCTTCCTGATCTGACGTAACCAGGGGAACCACCCACACCTCAGAGCATGACTCAGCAGAACTCAGTGTGATCCACGCTGCCTGTGGCTCTGACTCTGGATCTGAGCCCACTTCCATCCTGTCTGCTGCACCACTCTGCCTCCACCTTTCCTCTCAGCCCTGTCCACACCCTCCCTCCCTCCCTCCCTCCCTCCCTTCCTCACCTCCTAATCTCCTACTCGCCTTCTGTTCGGCTTCTGTGAACTTGTGAGACTCTCAAACACCGCCTTCATGATTTTATCAGCACACATTGAGATTAAGTGGTTTGGAAAAGGCCGTTTTCAGGTTGTCATGCATTGCCGTTTAATTAATAAGGTTATTTGTCTCCATTAAATTCATTTTAGTGCTATTGTTCCTGCACACTTTTCCAACATATGTTGAAAACAACATAAACAAAGAACAACTTCTAATCTACTACTGCATATAAAAGGTGAATAATTTATTTCTACTTCACTACATTTATTGAATAGCTTGTGATATAATGTCTGATACTTAAAAGTACATTTAGCTAATTATATGATATCTAAAGTGAGATTTGGAATATAGGACTTGTACGTGTAATGGAGTATTTTTGGTATTGTTACTTCAGTAAAGGATCTGAATGCTTCCTCTTCCTCTGTCCTTGTCACATGACCCCCCCTCCCCCCCGACCTTCCTCTGGAGGAGATCCAGCGATCGATGCCCCCCAGCCCCGCGGAGAGTTAGAGCATACTAATCTGCAGATGATTGATTAATGTGAGGATCAGAGACTGAGCTGCAGATGGAGCGCTGCAGGGCTTCTTCTACCGGAGGAAGCCTCAGACCCTTTACTTAAGAAAGTACCATTAAAAGGTAAATGTATATATGTTGTGATGGAAACTTCTGAAGCAATGGAGACTCAGAGAGACATGAGGAGAGCTGGAACTTTGAGGGCAAACACTGATGGTTTATTTGGAGATTCGGCCGGAGAATTCACAAGACATGTTCTGAAGATCTCGATCCCAGACCCATGTATTTAGCTGGTTCTGAGAGAATAATCAACATTGTGCATAACAAGATAAAGCACTATAATAACACCTCTATCAGCTGATGCCAACAGGCAGGAAATGGTCACACAGACCCGCCTTGTCACAGGTCTGTGCTCAACGAGGGCAGTACAAACTGATACACTGGGTCAAAGTTGGGCTTAGGAAAGTATTTCCCCAACAAACTGATACACCGGGTCAAAGTAATGGGCCTAGGAAAGTATTTCCCCAACAAACTGATACACTGGGTCAAAGTAATGGGCCTAGGAAAGTATTTCCCTAACAAACTGATACACCGGGTCAAAGTAATGGGCCTAGGAAAGTATTTACCCAACAAACTGATACACTGGGTCAAAGTAATGGGCCTAGGAAAGTATTTCCCCAACAAACTGATACACTGGGTCAAAGTTGGGCTTAGGAAAGTATTTCCCCAACAAACTGATAGACTGGGTCAAAGTAATGGGCCTAGGAAAGTATTTCCCCAACAAACTGATAGACTGGGTCAAAGTAATGGGCCTAGGAAAGTATTTCCCCAACAAACTGATACACCGGGTCAAAGTAATGGGCCTAGGAAAGTATTTCCCCAACAAACTGATACACCGGGTCAAAGTAATGGGCCTAGGAAAGTATTTCCCCAACAAACTGATACACTGGGTCAAAGTAATGGGCCTAGGAAAGTATTTCTCCAACAAACTGCTACACCGGGTCAAAGTAATGGGCCTAGGAAAGTATTTTTCCAACAAACTGATACACTGGGTCAAAGTAATGGGCCTAGGAAAGTATTTCTCCAACAAACTGCTACACCGGGTCAAAGTAATGGGCCTAGGAAAGTATTTCCCCAACAAACTGATACACCGGGTCAAAGTAATGGGCCTAGGAAAGTATTTCTCCAAAAAACTGATACACTGGGTCAAAGTTGGGCTTAGGAAAGTATTTCCCCAACAAACTGATACACCGGGTCAAAGTAATGGGCCTAGGAAAGTATTTCCCCAACAAACTGATACACCGGGTCAAAGTAATGGGCCTAGGAAAGTATTTCCCCAACAAACTGATACACTGGGTCAAAGTAATGGGCCTAGGAAAGTATTTCCCCAACAAACTGATACACTGGGTCAAAGTAATGGGCCTAGGAAAGTATTTCTCCAACAAACTGATACACCGGGTCAAAGTAATGGGCCTAGGAAAGTATTTCCCCAACAAACTGATACACCGGGTCAAAGCAATGGGCCTAGGAAAGTATTTCTCCAACAAACTGATACACCGGGTCAAAGTAATGGGCCTATGAAAGTATTTCTCCAACAAACTGATACACTGGGTCAAAGTAATGGGCCTAGGAAAGTATTTCCCCAACAAACTGATACACTGGGTCAAAGTAATGGGCCTAGGAAAGTATTTCTCCAACAAACTGATACACTGGGTCAAAGTAATGGGCCTCGGAAAGTATTTCTCCAACAAACTGATACACTGGGTCAAAGTAATGGGCCTAGGAAAGTATTTCCCCAACAAACTGATACACTGGGTCAAAGTAATGGGCATAGGAAACTATTTCCCCAATAAACTGATACACTGGGTCAAAGTAATGGGCCTAGGAAAGTATTTCTCCAACAAACTGATACACCGGGTCAAAGTAATGGGCCTAGGAAAGTATTTCCCCAACAAACTGATACACTGGGTCAAAGTAATGGGCCTAGGAAAGTATTTCTCCAACAAACTGATACACCGGGTCAAAGTAATGGGCCTAGGAAAGTATTTCCCCAACAAACTGATACACCGGGTCAAAGTAATGGGCCTAGGAAAGTATTTCCCCAACAAACTGATACACCGGGTCAAAGTAATGGGCCTAGGAAAGTATTTCTCCAATAAACTGATACACCGGGTCAAAGTAATGGGCCTAGGAAAGTATTTCTCCAACAAACTGATAGACTGGGTCAAAGTAATGGGCCTAGGAAAGCATTTCTCCAACAAACTGATACACTGGGTCAAAGTAATGGGCCTAGGAAAGTATTTCCCCAACAAACTGATACACCGGGTCAAAGTAATGGGCCAGGAAAGTATTTCTCCAACAAACTGATACACCGGGTCAAAGTAATGGGCCTAGGAAAGTATTTCTCCAACAAACTGATACACTGGGTCAAAGTAATGGGCCTAGGAAAGTATTTCCCCAACAAACTGATACACTGGGTCAAAGTAATGGGCCTAGGAAAGTATTTCTCCAACAAACTGATACACTGGGTCAAAGTAATGGGCCTGGGAAAGTATTTCTCCAACAAACTGATACATCGGGTCAAAGTAATGGGCCTAGGAAAGTATTTCTCCAACAAACTGATACACCGGGTCAAAGTAATGGGCCAGGAAAGTATTTCCCCAACAAACTGATACACCGGGTCAAAGTAATGGGCCTAGGAAAGTATTTCTCCAACAAACTGATACATCGGGTCAAAGTAATGGGCCTAGGAAAGTATTTCTCCAACAAACTGATACACCGGGTCAAAGTAATGGGCCAGGAAAGTATTTCCCCAACAAACTGATATACCGGGTCAAAGTAATGGGCCTAGGAAAGTATTTCTCCAACAAACTGATACACCGGGTCAAAGTAATGGGCCTAGGAAAGTATTTCCCCAACAAACTGATAGACTGGGTCAAAGTAATGGGCCTAGGAAAGTATTTCCCCAACAAACTGATACACCGGGTCAAAGTAATGGGCCTAGGAAAGTATTTCCCCAACAAACTGATACACCGGGTCAAAGTAATGGGCCTAGGAAAGTATTTCCCCAACAAACTGATACACCGGGTCAAAGTAATGGGCCTAGGAAAGTATTTCCCCAACAAACTGATACACCGGGTCAAAGTAATGGGCCTAGGAAAGTATTTCCCCAACAAACTGATACACCGGGTCAAAGTAATGGGCCTAGGAAAGTATTTCCCCAACAAACTGATACACTGGGTCAAAGTAATGGGCCTAGGAAAGTATTTCCCCAACAAACTGATAGACTGGGTCAAAGTAATGGGCCTAGGAAAGTATTTCCCCAACAAACTGATAGACTGGGTCAAAGTAATGGGCCTAGGAAAGTATTTCCCCAACAAACTGATACACCGGGTCAAAGTAATGGGCCTAGGAAATTATTTCCCCAATAAACTGATACACCGGGTCAAAGTAATGGGCCTAGGAACGTATTTCTCCAACAAACTGATACACCGGGTCAAAGTAATGGGCCTAGGAAAGTATTTCTCCAACAAACTGATACACCGGGTCAGAGTAATGGGCCTAGGAAAGTATTTCCACAACAAACTGATACACCGGGTCAAAGTAATGGGCCTAGGAAAGTATTTCCACAACAAACTGATACACCGGGTCAAAGTAATGGGCCTAGGAAAGTATTTCCCCAACAAACTGATACACCGGGTCAGAGTAATGGGCCTAGGAAAGTATTTCCACAACAAACTGATACACCGGGTCAAAGTAATGGGCCTAGGAAAGTATTTCCCCAACAAACTGATACACCGGGTCAAAGTAATGGGCCTAGGAAAGTATTTCCCCAACAAACTGATACACCGGGTCAAAGTAATGGGCCTAGGAAAGTATTTCCCCAACAAACTGATAGACTGGGTCAAAGTAATGTGCCTAGGAAAGTATTTCTCCAACAAACTGATACACTGGATCAAAGTAATGGGCCTAGGAAAGTATTTCCCCAACAAACTGATACACTGGGTTAAAGTAATGGGCCTAGGAAAGTATTTCTCCAACAAACTGATAGACTGGGTTAAAGTAATGGGCCTAGGAAAGTATTTCTCCAACAAACTGATACACTGGGTCAAAGTAATGGGCCAGGAAAGTATTTCCCCAACAAACTGATACACCGGGTCAAAGTAATGGGCCTAGGAAAGTATTTCCCCAACAAACTGATACACTGGGTCAAAGTAATGGGCCAGGAAAGTATTTATCCAACAAACTGATACACTGGGTCAAAGTAATGGGCCAGGAAAGTATTTCCCCAACAAACTGATACACCGGGTCAAAGTAATGGGCCTAGGAAAGTATTTCTCCAACAAACTGATACACTGGGTCAAAGTAATGGGCCTAGGAAAGTATTTCTCCAACAAACTGATACACTGGGTCAAAGTAATGGGCCTAGGAAACTATTTCTCCAACAAACTGATACACTGGGTCAAAGTAATGGGCCTAGGAAAGTATTTCCCCAACAAACTGATAGACTGGGTCAAAGTAATGGGCCTAGGAAAGTATTTCCCCAACAAACTGATAGACTGGGTCAAAGTAATGGGCCTAGGAAAGTATTTCCCCAACAAACTGATACACTGGGTCAAAGTAATGGGCCTAGGAAAGTATTTCCCCAACAAACTGATACACTGGGTCAAAGTAATGGGCCTAAGAAAGTATTTCTCCAACAAATGTCTTCAACAAAATCTTCATCTTGGAACTAAAGCTGTAACATAATGATAATGGAGTAGAAGTGTCACATGATTTATGCATTAATGTGATTTTTTATATTATTTTAAAGCACCGTCAACCCTAAATCATCTCATGTTTATATGATTGTTTTTACAATGTATGTGATCTTTAATTTACATTTTTATTTAATCATGTTTATTTAAATAATTCTATTCAATTTTTATCTTATTTTACCCTTTTACTGCACATTTTTACTTGCTTCTATTTCTACTTTGACTACTTATATTTATATACATATTTTAGTTCTAGTTTTATTTAATATTTTTAGTTTAGTTTTATTATTAAAGGTCACCTATTTATTTTTAGGCAATAGCATAGGTCTCAGATATTTAAAAAACATGTCTATGAAGTGTTTTGCTCAAAATACCAAACAGATCATTCTAGCCATGCCTCAATCCCTCTATTTCACTTCCTGTTTCAAAAGTGCTGATTTGGGTATAAAGCTTTAAAATAATAAAAAAGGAGGGGTCTGAGCTCATGCGGGACCCGGCAGCTACTGTCTAAACTAAATGCTGCCGTGATGAAACGCCATATCATGGATTATCAAGGATTCTCTCTGAAACAGTCTGGAGCTCAAAGGCTTTCTCTCTTGCCGGTTATACCACAAGGTGAGTTCCTTTTTACTTCCTGCTTCTTCACACACATGCTCTCCAGTACAGGTTAGCTCTGAGTGTTAGCGATGCTAATGTAAACACCGACCATATTACGTCCAAAACAGTCGGGCATTGTTTCTGATAGCAACGTTTCTGATTGGGCCGTGGGTCCACATTTCAGATATTACGTCATATCGGACGCAAATCTGGATCAGCTCCGTTGTTCCCCGTTTTTAGAGATTTGGGTACGGAGGAAAAGAGAGGTTGTATTTTCTGACGCTGCGTGATTTCACATGTTGATGTATAAAATACATCAACAAGTGCATTTTGCACGATAAGTCCCCTTTAAAAGGAAACCCAATTTCGTCCAGAATACAATCATTCTGTTTCAGATTCTGATTCAGGAGTAGCACTGGCTCAAACGCTAATATTTTAAACATTCGTGATGTGTGTTTTTTTTATTATCTAAAAGTCTGTAGAAGTTTATTGTACCGCCACCAAGACACTGATTTCGTAGCCAAATTGGGAACAATTCAAACAAATACTAAATGATGAATAGTATTATAAATATTAATCCATTTTGTTTTTGCAATATTTTGATTCCACTGACCTGAGAGTCCCGAGTCGTCCTCACTGTTCTCCGCGTCCTCTGCACTTTTCTCAAGGTTGCTGAGGGACTTGCTCCTCGTTCTGAAGTTCCTGAGCAGGTTTCGGTGCTCTTGGTAGGTGATGGGGGGGCTCTCTGCGCTGATGTGCACGGGGCGGGGGGTGCCGTAGTAATTCCCTGAGACAGAGGAGGACACAGGGACAGACGACTTGAGAAATGACACAAGTCACCGTGTTTATAATGATGATATTTTATTTTGCTAAACCTGCAGCCTCAACTAAAACAGATCATGTTTTTTTCAAAGCAGATTAGAAATACATTCTGACAAGGAGAGTTTATTTTTAGATTGATTTATTAAGGAAGCTCAAGGTGCCTTAAATAATAAATGTTGGCATTTATTATGAAAGGGCATAATAAGAGAGTAAAACTAACATGTTTCTAATCTAATAACTAGAGGGACAAAACTAATATCGTTGTCCTTGCAGATAAATTACGTCTTAATGGTTTTACAGGAAGTGGTCGTTGCATTAATCATGATGTCTGTCTTTCAGCGCCCTTTGCACTCCGCACTATTATTACACGTTTCTATTGATTAAATGATCAGTGATGGAAGAAGTCCTCCGGTTTGTCAATATTAAAAATCAAAAAACGAATCTTAAGACTTTGCAATTAGGTTTGTGATGCGTTCGATATCTGTGTGTACATGTATATGGCAGTTTACTTTACTCTGTTCAGCTAAAAGTCCTGTACTCAAAACATTACTTCTCAGTACGTCAAAGGATCGGCTTCAAAATAACTCAAAGTACCAAAAAAGTATTTATTGTGCATTATAACCCTTTTTGTAAATATATTTTCATTGATTTATTGTAGTTTAATTCCACACAGCTTTCAATTGAATAGGTTTTTATTGTAAATATTTGTACATGTTTTTTTCATAGCTTTATGTAGTTTTTTATTTGTTTCCCTTATACATATTTTAATTGTATTTCTCCCTGTTGTACTTTTCTAACCCATGTATTTCTGTATACGTGCATCATGTCTCCCCAGAGATAATCCACTGTATTTACTCTCTCTATGTATTCTATATTCCCAGTGACAGCCATCTGCTGCTGAAGACGAAATGACATTACCTCCAACATGCATCTGTTTCAGAGAGGAAGCATTAGATTACTGAACTCCTCAACAAGGTCAGCAGCCGCCACCATTTACTGCTGAAACCCCACAATGCACTGCTGTAACCCCCCCCCCCATGCACTGCTGATCCTGAAGTGAGGATGACATTCATGGCTGCCATTAAACTCTGATAAATGATGGATGCTAATATATGGAGGCTTTTAATCAGAGGCAGCACTCTGACCCTTACAGGGGGGGGGGACCTGAGAGCATTAATATGCAGAGAGAGAAGCGACTAACTGATATTAACTCTGTTAACCTCGTTCATCACAACAAAAACCTGCCAATACATGGGATTATTTACAACAGCTGGCCTGGCGCGGGTCAAGTCTATATGGAGCATCTGCACCTGGCCAGGAAGTAGCCACCAGTCACCGTTTTTATATTGATTTTTGTTTTGCTAAACCTGCAGCCTAAACTTTATGGTTCATTGTTGGTTCAAATTACATTAGAATTTAATTAGAATTTTTTTATATTGATTTATTTTACATAAAGGCAGCTCAATAATTTTACATAATAAATGCTTGATTAAATGATTAAATAAAAAAATAGATTAAAAGTTATTTTAAAATTAAGCAGTTTAAAAGACACTAGTAGTGAGAAGAACAGATTTTAGAATCAAACATAAAAATAAGCACTTTCTGTGCATATCATCAAACGTAGATGAAGAGCAATTTAAGTCACTGGCATGCACCTTTTTGTTTAAAGGGGACCTATCATGCAAAATGCACTTTTCGATGTCTTTTATACATAAACATGTGTCTCCGGTGTGTCAGGGAACTCACGCAGCGTCAGAAAATGAAACCCTTTCTCTTTTCCTCCGTACCCACATCTTTTAAAAACGGGTACATCGAGCGGATACAGATTTGCTGCCGATATGACGTAATTTCGGATGGTGGACCCACAGAGAGTTGCTATCAGAAACAATGCCTGATGTGTTTTGGACGTAATATGGTCTGTGTTCACATTAGCATCGCTAACACTCAGAGCTAACCTGAACTGGAGAGCATGTGTGTGAAGAAGCAGGAAGTAAAAAAAAGAACTCACCTTGTGATAAACCCGCAAGAGAAAAAGCATTTGAGCTCCATACTGTTTCAGAAATAATCCTTGATGTGGTTTAGAACAGGATGGCGTTTATCACAGCAGAATTTAACTTTATATCCGGTAGAATTCTGATCAGGCATTAGCTCCGCCTCCTTTTTTATTTTTTTCAAGCTAAGGACCCAGAATCAGCGTTTCTCTAACAGCTGAAATAGAGGTGTATGAGGGATTTCTAAAATGCATGATCTGTGTGTATTTTGAGCAAAACACATCATAGACATGTTTTTATATATTCGTATATATCTGAGACCCATAATATATGCCTAAAAATAGCATGATAGGTGCACTTTAAATTGGTCTGAGATAATGCAATACTTCTGTTAAAAAGTAATTCCTTCTTACAGTATCTTACAAAACATCAGAATTCAAATCAATCAGTAAAAATGATCACACTCACAAAATAATGATGATAATATACTGTATATCTAAAACAAACTAGGACATTTGATCACATGTTCTTATTTTATATCATTGTCTCCCTTTACATGCTAGACTAGAGTCCAAGATTATACTTATAAAATATTGCAGAGATTTGCCCTTTATCCTACTTATCGTCAAACTAGGTTTCATAATTAACTTTGCGCTAATTTATTTGACGTGAAACAGACAAGCTACAATCACTAACACCAGGCTGCTAAACCAACAGTCCTAAAACCTTTTGAATGCACTTTATAGCTCTATACGACTTAAGTATGTATTACCCTTCGTATGATTGTTTATGTGTTTTTGTTGTTGTTTGTTTTCGTTTGCGCAAGGTTGCACCCCAACATCTCATTGTGTATGTTAGTATGATGACAATAAAGGCTTTCTATTCTAAGTTATATCCATAGCTTCTCTTGGATAACTTTAACTCACTGTACATTTTACATTTGTATTCCATTTCATATTTAATATTCCATTCCTTACATACTTAATAATATCCTGCATTATATTTTGTTACTGTTAATTTGTTTTTTAATGCTATTTTATTTCTATTTCAGATGTTTACATTTTGGATTGTTTACTTCTTGTCTTTTAACTTCTCTAATGTACAATGCCATGTATTTTTATGCTGCTACAATGCAACAAAATCCCAAATGTGGATCAATAAAGTAGTTCTTTATCTGTATCTTTACAGTAGGTGTTATTGATTGAGCTTTCGAGGCGCCTCACCTTTGAACTTCCCGCTCTCCAGCAGCGCTCCCGACTCCTCCAGAGAGAAGAACTCCTGGATGGACACGAAGTTGTAATCTACGCCGGAGATCTCCCCGTCTCTGAGCTGTCTGGTGGTGCCTGGGAGAGGAAATATAGAGAATATGAGACCAGAGGAAATATAGAATCTTCATACATCAGGTCAGAGAGAGAGAGAAATACTGCCAGCTCTAACGGAAAAGACACTTAATCACATCCTCTCATCGGGGGGGCATGAATCTTAGTTAAGTGTTTAAATAAAGCGACAACTCAGCAAACTATAAATAGTCCGACCATCACAATTTGACAAATTGTTTAAAAAATATAATTCAATGAGAGGTGACAACCTCCTGAATCATTTCTGGTTCATTTTCAAGCAGTAGAGGAGAAATTATTCAGATATTTTATAAACAAAGAGTTATCTCCTGCTGATTTTCAGGTGTATATCAGTATGTAGTGTCTCTACTTTAAAGAGTCCTCTCCTGCTGATGTCCAGGTGTATATCAGTATGTAGTGTCTCTACTTTAAAGAGTCCTCTCCTGCTGATTTTCAGGTGTATATCAGTATGTAGTGTCTCTACTTTAAAGAGTCCTCTCCTACTGATGTTCAGGTGTATATCAGTATGTAGTGTCTCTACTTTAAAGAGTCCTCTCCTGCTGATGTTCAGGTGTATATCAGTATGTAGTGTCCCTACTTTAAAGAGTCCTCTCCTGCTGATGTTCAGGTTCATATCAGTATGTAGTGTCTCTACTTTAAAGAGTCCTCTCCTGCTGATGTTCAGGTGTATATCAGTATGTAGTGTCTCTACTTTAAAGAGTCCTCTCCTGCTGATTTTCAGGTGTATATCAGTATGTAGTGTCTCTACTTTAAAGAGTCCTCTCCTACTGATGTTCAGGTGTATATCAGTATGTAGTGTCTCTACTTTAAAGAGTCCTCTCCTGCTGATGTTCAGGTGTATATCAGTATGTAGTGTCCCTACTTTAAAGAGTCCTCTCCTGCTGATGTTCAGGTTCATATCAGTATGTAGTGTCTCTACTTTAAAGAGTCCTCTCCTGCTGATGTTCAGGTGTATATCAGTATGTAGTGTCTCTACTTTAAAGAGTCCTCTCCTGCTGATGTTCAGGTGTATATCAGTATGTAGTGTCTCTACTTTAAAGAGTCCTCTCCTGCTGATGTTCAGGTGTATATCAGTATGTAGTGTCTCTACTTTAAAGAGTCCTCTCCTGCTGATTTTCAGGTGTATATCAGTATGTAGTGTCTCTACTTTAAAGAGTCCTCTCCTGCTGATTTTCAGGTGTATATCAGTATGTAGTGTCTCTACTTTAAAGAGTCCTCTCCTGCTGATGTTCAGGTGTATATCAGTATGTAGTGTCTCTACTTTAAAGAGTCCTCTCCTGCTGATGTTCAGGTGTATATCAGTATGTAGTGTCTCTACTTTAAAGAGTCCTCTGCTGCTGATGTTCAGGTGTATATCAGTATGTAGTGTCTCTACTTTAAAGAGTCCTCTCCTGCTGATGTTCAGGTGTATATCAGTATGTAGTGTATCTACTTTAAAGAGTTCTCTCCTGCTGATGTTCAGGTGTATATCAGTGTGTAGTGTCTCTACTTTAAAGAGTCCTCTCCTGCTGATGTTCAGGTGTATATCAGTGTGTAGTGTCTCTACTTTAAAGAGTCCTCTCCTGCTGATGTCCAGGTGTATATCAGTATGTAGTGTCTCTACTTTAAAGAGTCCTCTCCTGCTGATGTTCAGGTGTATATCAGTATGTAGTGTCTCTACTTTAAAGAGTCCTCTCCTGCTGATGTTCAGGTGTATATCAGTATGTAGTGTCTCTACTTTAAAGAGTCCTCTCCTGCTGATGTTCAGGTGTATATCAGTATGTAGTGTCTCTACTTTAAAGAGTCCTCTCCTGCTGATGTTCAGGTGTATATCAGTATGTAGTGTCTCTACTTTAAAGAGTCCTCTCCTGCTGATGTTCAGGTGTATATCAGTATGTAGTGTCTCTACTTTAAAGAGTCCTCTCCTGCTGATGTTCAGGTGTATATCAGTATGTAGTGTCTCTACTGGGACATGTCTCCGTGCTTTAATGTTCAAAAAGCTCTTTATTCTTCTCATACTGCCTGTGCTGCAGCACCTCTTTTCACCCTCTGTCTGAAACCAGAGCCCAGTCTGCTCTGATTGGTTAGCTGGCCGGCTCTGTTGTGATTGGTCAACCGCTTAGAGATTTCCCGCCCCTTAGCCTATCACGTACAATGTGTTTGAGCGCTAGCCAATTGAAGCAGGAGTGTTATAGTGATGTCACTATTACATAATAATTAGTATTTATTTATTTTTTAGTAATGTTATTATTATTATATTGATGTTTCCTTTAATTATTTACTTAAAATGGCTCTAACACATACTTTTTAGGAAATACATTTGAATTATTGAATGAACATAGTGAAGTCAAACGTTCAGTCTTTACCTCTGAGATGTGGAATAGAGGAAAAAAATAGCAGAAAGTAATAGTACTCAAGTTAAGTACAAGTACTCAAACACAGTACTACACCAACGGTCGTAAATAACCTCATAATTAATAATGAATCATAACATTAATGAAGAGACCTCTGTAATTACAGCGTTGGGCTCCTGGTGTAAAAAGCGAGCTGCGGGTCGACCTGAACGTTAGGTCTGCAGAGAGCGTTTAGCTGCGTCTCTTTATTATGAGCGATCAATGAGAGCAGAATGAAACATTAACGAGGCGTCCTAACGTCTTCCTGTCAGCGTCAGACAGACGGAGATCAATGCTCCGTCAGCAGGAGGGTCACCTGACCTTGGGTCCAAACCACAGCGGAGCAAAGCATCATCACAGAATCACACAGTCTTAATGTTTGCTGTGTTTCTGAACCACATTTACTAGACTTCAAACGCGTGTGCGGGCACGTAGTGTGAAGTATATCACGTTTTAATTTCACTCATTAAGTCAAATCTGATTGTTTTTATCTGTCACAGCTTGTGTTATAGTCTAGTTGCAGCTCATAGAGTCTTATTGTGAGCACAGAGATGTTGAGTAGCCCAAGTGTTATGTTAGAAATGTATAGTACGGGTCCTTAGCACTTAGAAACTGCCAGATGCAAAATTGCATATGTTGGGCAATTTGCACAATTAGCATAAGTTGTGTTAATAAGCATTAAGTACCATATGGACAATAGTTCATACAAACAAGTGCTAGGCCGATTTCGACCATTTGTGTTTGAGTGGAGGTTATTGAGGATGCTGAATCCATTACAGCAGGGATTCTCAAACTCCGGACCGAACTGCAAATCAATCCGGACCGAACCCTGTGTCCCATTATAAAAATAAAAAAAATTATACAAAATTTAAAAAATAAAAACTTTCTGATTCTGATGTAAATTAATGTACATTTTCTTGTGTCTGACGCGTTGTGATAATGAACGTGCATATATATTTACTTGTGTGTGCGAGCGTGACACGCATTGCAGACTGCAAGTTAAGCACAAGTTTACCTTACTTTCTAATGCTTCTAACGCCGTTTTTGCCAAAGTTCAAGGCATTGGCTACAGACAAACAGTGCAATTTCTCCCACTAGTTCAAGCCACCATACTGTACAGTATGGTGGCTTGAACTAGTGGGAGAAATGTATGTATTGAATGTGTGTGTGTGTGTGTATACAGACTGCCTGCCTGCCTTGCGCCGACAGGCAAGGCAGGCAAGTGCTTGGACCAGAAGGGGGCCCCCAAAGAAGGTAGATTAAGAAGGTCCACAGCAACGACCACATGAAACACTCTTTAATTTACTGCAACGACACGTCGGGAAACCCCCTCAAGGGGCACCGTAAGAAACTGCTTCTTAATTTCAGTTTCGTTAAACTGAAATTATCAATGCCAGTAAAGTCCCTGTTTTGATCCGGACCAGTGACCTTGTATACAATTCACAAGTGGACCTTTAATAAAAAAGTTTGAGTACCCTCACAGGATGGCAGTTCTAACCAGGACGTGGCCATCTCTGTACTCTCGACGGGCTGATTTTGATTCATTTCGGAATCATTAAGATTGGACAGATTGCTTATTCATTTGAAAAGTAATTGTCCACAGAAGAGGTAATAATGTTCATCTTGTGCTCTCTATATCCAATGGTGGCAACATTGCACACAGTAGTCAAAATCAGCCCTCTGAGAGTACAGATATGGCCCCTTTCTGTTTGATGTCCTTCAGAAGAGCTGTGAGACTCTCAGTCTTCAGACACGCTTGGCTGTCTTTTATAATTTCGCACAGCAATACAATCTTTAACCTCAATCACCAGTGTGTGTCTGTGTTCACATTGTGTTATATTCTCATTCTAATTTGCAGATTGAACTGCGAAACGTCCGTTTCGACCTTGAGACAATAATTCCTTTCCCGAGACAAAATCTCACATGAGCCTAAATTGAGGATGAATCGCCGTCCTTCTGCAGGAGGGAGTCACACCCAGATCCCCCATAAAACCCGTGATTAATGCACCGCCGTGCTGGGAGCTGCCCCCCCAGACACAGGGACACATGCACACACACACACACACACACACACACACACACACACACACACACACACACTGAACACACACACATGTAGACACACTTACATTAGAGAGCAGAAGCTCCATCAGACCGACCTCTTCTCTAAAAACAAAGGTGGAAAAAGCTCCATGGATTTAGATTTAGGTACACACACACACACACACACACACACACACACACACACACACACACAGACAGACAGACAGACAGACAGACAGACAGACAGACAGACAGACAGACAGACAGACAGACAGACAGACAGACAGACAGACAGACAGACAGACAGACAGACAGACAGACAGACAGACAGACAGACAGACAGACAGACAGACAGACAGACACACACACACACACACACACACACACACACACACACACACACACACACACACACAAGTATAATACTGTATGGCTGCAAGTACAGATTACTCAAATGTTCCATTAAAATGCACTCAGTAAACCTTTGTTTCTGTACATTGCATATTCTTCTTATTAATCATATTTTGCACATTATCACTTTGAAAAAGTATTGCAGATGTTTATTACATT